GCATCAGGAGCAATTTGGGGTTCAGTATCTTGCTCAAGGATACTTCGACATGTGGGGGATCGAACCAACAACCTTCCAATTAGGGGACGACCCGCTGTGCCTCTGCACCACAGCTACCCCTTTTACTGAACACTGACATATTAACATGTTCATATGACAAACTTGACAGCAAACAGCTGTTGACAGAGAAATACTCCTTTTAGTTCTACTTTAGTCTCAAACAACACCTGATAAAAATATTTGTATATTTATATATTTATATTTTAAATATTTGTCCCTGTAGCTGCTAAATGCTTTATTTTGTTCACCAGCTAGTTGCTAACGTTGTCTGCTGTTTGGTGCTGGTAGCATAAAGTGACTTTAACAAAATGTTAGATGAAGCTGGCACTTTGCGTCCAGACAGTTACCGATAACAGAAAAGCAAGCTGAAAGATGCTGAAGCACTTCATAGAGCTCAGGGGAGCTGCAGAGTCAGGTGGGGATTGCATTAGTGAGGCTGTTCCCAAGGTCAAGAATGAACTTTCTTTGAAATGCAATTAGGGTTTAGGAGTTTGAATTCTGGGGATTTTTTTGCATTTATATTGACTGGGGTCACGCTACCAGAACAGTACAACTATAGAAACACTACACTCACAAAAATAGTCCATAGAGATTTAAGTGTTACTGTGGGGGAGTTGACAGTGGGGCTTTTTAGAAGCCATGGAGGACAACAGAATATGGAAATTGATACCTGATTAGTTTGCCATTTTTACACAGTCAGTCCTAGTTTTCCAGTTCCAATTAAAGTCCCAATCCACCTTCAATTCTCCTTCTTTGGAAAAATGAATACAGTGGCACAATAACTCTTGTCAAGTCCATTCCAGCATAATTACAGTGGTGTCACTGTCAGCGTCGCCTACTGACAAAAGAAGATGTTTAAACATGAAGACTGCTATTAACATTTGGCAGAAAGACAGAGCTGGTGAAATTAATTTGCACAAATGAAAATGTGACTGCAGACGGAGTGAAACTAATGATTCAACAGAACAGAGAGTGTACAGAAGAACAGAAGATGGACAGGCACAATTTAGATGAAGGAAGAGCGGAGGTGGACAAAGGAAAAGAAAATGGTACACTCAGAAAAGTAGAGGGAGGATGGCAAGAGAAAGATAAAAGATGAAAAGTAAAAAAGGGGGAAAATCAAAAATGAAGAATAAGAGAAGCAGATGGACAGACTGAAATAGTCATTCATCCTCCAGCTCTGGTAAAAGGCCATTCACCTCTAATCAATAGACTATCAGGGCTTTTTATCCACTTTTGGTGTCAGACTCAGAGCCATCAAGTCTCCACTGTAATCCACTGCATTAGGTCAAAGTCTGAAGCACAATGTCAGATCAGTTGTTGTCTCCCTTTAGGAGACCTGCAATTTCAAAAACTCGTTCTTAACATCGTTTTTCAGTCAGTATTTACGTATATTCAGAGATTCAAGATTTAAAAAATGTTCTCTTTTCATGTTCATGGACTCGTCAGTTGATCTGTTGATCTTTGGTCCAGACTATGCAATGGATAACCATAAAATTCAAGCCCCCCTCAGGACGAGCTGCAATAACCTTGGAGGTCCTATGACTGTTCATCTAGCACCATCATCAGGTCAACATTTGAATTTGGTTGATGAGAAAATACCTGCTAAACTAATGACATTCCCATCAGCCTAAGTGGCTCTTAGTGTTTGATGCTAATCAGCAAATGTTAGCATTCTCGCACCCTAAGCTAATGTATATCCCTGCTGAACACCGCCTTTTAGCATTGGCATTTTGAGCATGTTATGTTAATGTTAGCCTAAGAACAGCCTCATAGAGCCGACTGTTTGGAAGCCAAATCATCAGATTCATATAATGTCCAAGTCAGCTACACATGCAGTGCAAAACAAATGTTTTGTTACAGTTTGTTAAATGTTTTGTTGCACCTCTGCATAATCATCCAAGCATTGCCTGGATGATTCTGAATGTGCGTAATATTATAGATTCCAGCTGCAAGGCTTACTGTCTGATTAAATCCCTTGCAAAGATGCTGCGTTGGTGGTATTCCAAGACTCTAATAATCTCTGTTCACTTAGTGGGTAAATGAATTGAGAGCGAAGCTGCTCCTCAGAGAACAACTAGAGGAGGCAGAGTGTTCGCAGCAGCAGCAGCAGGAGATGGAAATGAGATGGAGACGTTCATTTATTCATTGATTTCCACAGTGAGCAGCTGGAATCGTTCTCTGGGATCCTGCACCATGAATGTTTGTAAGGAAGAGATGTGACACACACAGCTTTCCTTATCTACTTTCTACATACTAGAGCAGATAAGGATTTTGTTCCCGATTATCAGTGAAAATGAACCGCTGTTGTTTGAATCATTTTGTTTGCTGTCGAAGCAAAACTCGTGGTGGGTTATCATACAGTCACACTGTATATCATCACTGTGTTGTCTATGGCATGGTTCTTTTTCAAGGCTGTAACCTTTAATTAAAAATGTTGTTTGAGAGTTAAATATTTTAACTGTAATGACGACTCACATAAAAACTTTACAGTCTACTGTACAAACACAAAGACAGTAACAGTTTGAAGTAGTCTGCCTTGTGGTCCAGCAGAGGACACTTTTTAAAATTCACTTACCCACAGCTCAGTGTTTCTCAGACTCACACATTACACTAGGTGGGTTGCATGTGAATATATTTGAACAAATTACGAATTGGTTTGACTTCACTCCAACTCAAAAACGTGACAGCCCTATTCTTTTGTGATGAAGTGATCTTCTGTATTTTACCGTTTCATCCACTATTCTTAATTTTACCAACCAACTTCAATACACCATATTGTGAAGGTAAATGTACCTGGATTATCACAGCAACTCTGCATCATTACACTACTGCCTTACTGTCTACAAATGTTATTTTTGTTTTTATATTTATATAGTTTATGTTTACCTTGTTGAGCTTGTTCTGTTTATTTATTTATGTGTAGGTGAACTGAGAACAACATAAAACCAGAGTCAAATTGCTTATATGTGTACACATACCTGGCCAATAAAAGTCCAATCTATCAATACATATATCAAATGGTCATATTTGTGTAATGTTTTGTAGTAGTAAATGCTCATTTGTAGTCCAGTAGGGTCCTTTTTCAGTTCTATAGTCAATATTTTCTTACTTTTTAAGTCCATTTTGACTGATAGAACATCCCTCAGTGACTGCTGACATGCTATGTTATATGTGTATGTACAAAGAGCAGCAGTGTTAGCGATAGTGATAGCGGCAGAAAACAGGACAAGCTACTCAAAATGCAACACTGCTATAATGCATTCTGGTCTACTGAGGTGACTAATGATGAAAAAATTGTTTATTCCCCTTTTATGGTGGATTTCTCCGTATATTATTGCTAAACATCAGTGCAAAGTGCAGCGGCTCTGTATAGAAGTCCTTGCTCTTTCATTTCAAACCTATTCTAATGTTTATCATCAATGCTTCGCACTGAAGCTAATTATTCGGTATGAGGTCATCTGCTCTGTGAGATACAATTCAAAGCTGTAGGAAATAGCTATTAAGCGGTTCAAGTTTTTAAAGGTATTGTGACTATCTGTCCGTCATTGTGATATAAAGAACTGTTTTTTGACATTTCAATTCACTGATAGAACAGTAAGAAGTAACAGAAAAGGCAGGGGAGCGAGATTGAATGACAGGCAGCCAATGGCCCCAGTCCGGACATGAACCCCAACACGCGGTACACGCTCCATCTGGGGAGCTACAAAGAATTTCTTGAAATAAATTCTACATGACAATGGTGACAGGACACAGTTTTCATTAAAGAACTGCAGGTGTTCACAAATCTTTGATATCTTTTCATATTGGACATCTTTGGCTCGCCTGTCTCTTGTAACAGTTAATGAAAGACCAGGAAATGTCAGCAGCATTACAGCAGACTGGCTTTCGATCAGTAAAGGGCAACAATAAAAATTAGCTCTTACAGCCTCTAAGACAAGAAGTGTCAATGCAACCTCTGCTCCCTTCTTCTGACTGGCAGCTTGTGACAGCGGCAGTCTCGGAGGTGAATCAGACTCCCAAGCTGCACTTTACTGAAGTAAAAGCTAACCCTTTTAAACATAATTCAATGAGTTGGATGCTGTTACAGGTGGCATGAATGCGTCCTATTACCACCGTAGAGAGCCATGTCAATCCACTGTTAACAAAAAGTCTGATCAGCAAACAAAGAGAGAAGGCTGGCAGCATTTTGCGACACAAAGACTGTTTGCTTAAAGTCTCGACCATCAAACAAACCGAGTACTGAGCAAGCTCTGGTTCCTTTAGTTTCTCAGATGGGGAATTTTGTTCAGATCCATCTCACCCTACGAGCCGATTCTGAGGTTTGATGTAGGGATTAAGCGGTGAAACTTGTTCCCCACAGAAAGCTCCACGACAAACCATGATCATCATTTTGTCAAAGCCTCACATCAGCATCCAGCACAGAACTCCCTGCTGGGTCAAACAAACGGCGTTCACATTTATCCTCCTGGCATAAAACCTTCAACAGCACCCACAGAGAATAAAGACAGGACAAAGCAGCTATTGCTTGTTCTCTCAGCCGTGAGTGACCTGTAAGTCTTTGTGAATCCACCAAAAACTTTCCTGTGTGTTATGTTTTGTGTTCTGTGTCCTGAGCTCAAACAAAGTCTCTTCTCCACTGAGCGAAACTGCATCCGAGCAGTTTGACAGTAACAGAGGAGAGATTTGGCTCCTCCACTTCCTCTCTATTGTCTGTGTTAAACTCAGATAATCCTCACATTTCACTGGACCAAAGGCAAAGCTCACATCCTCTCTTAGAAAAACAATCACAGGCAGTACAAACATCATTCCAGGGCCCTAATACACAGACAAAAATAACAATAATATTATGATTTCAGCTCAGTTAGGTACTTATGAATCCAGTCTGATCTGCTTTGTTAAATAACCGGATCAAACTGAACTTAATGAGGCGAACTCACCTTCTCTCCTGTTGAGTTTGGCAAAGCCTGGAGCGTGACTGCTGGACAGCTGGGAGGAGCTTCTGAAGGACGATGGCGGCAGATTGGACACCAGCGCGCTCTCGCACACCTCTGTCAACCAATCACAAAGCAGAAAATATAAATAAACTGATATCATTCATTCAAAACTCTTTGGAAATAACAATTTCTGGAGTAAGTATTTCCTCTGTCACCGATATAATGTCCAATCGCAGAGCCCTATTGGCTAGATTGTCATTTCCTATATGTAGTAGTAAGAAACATCTGAATATCAAAACTGTTTTTTGTTAAAAAAGTACAAACATACAAAGATAGCAAGTACCCATTTACTTAAGTAGCACTGGTTACGTCTCCAGTTTGAGCTCGAGCACACAGCTGACACATGCTGTGAGGGCACAATGTAATGTAGATGTCTCCACAAAACCTTGTACTTATTTTGGGTGTATTTTACCTCAGGATTAAATTCTAACAAATCATATAAACGCAAACACACACGATGGGAAAATACTGTCTTTCACTGAAACTGTAATTCAGTACTACTCACCAGCTCACAGAAAATATTACATATCTCTCAGTTATGTAATCTTAAGGAAATAATCCAAATTATCAGTGACTCACTGAGATCAAATAACATCACTTTATACAGTTTATATGTGTAGTAGTACACATCACACAATAAATATCATTTCAGTAAAACAACAAACCTCCTATATCAGACAAAGAATGGACCTCTGTATGCAGAGAAAATGTCACAGCAGCATCCATTCATGAAGATGGTTAAACAGAACACTTGTGATACAGCACTTGGAGGTTCAGAAAAGCAGAATACCAGAAGTAACTGGGTGATCACATTTTTTAGCCTCAATAAACACCATTGAGCAGCTGAAGAGGAGTGGAGTTTTGTCATTGAGCTGCAGAATTAATGCCAGCTAAGGCCATTGACATTACGCTCCAGCCTCTCAATGAACGGGAAATAACAGCAGGTTGAGACAGGAATGTCTCCTCTCTTAGCATGAGTATAAATAGTTTTGTGGTTCATAAAATCGTAAAAGTAGCTGGAAAGAAGCTTCCAAACACTCCTCTGGAATGAAGAACAGAGCTGAGTGGTTCAGAGAGCAGAGATCAATAGTAAAAACCACACTGGGGATATCAGCAGATAAATGATTCTCCATCTTTTAGCCTGAGTGAAAAAAAATGGAGGAAAAAAAAGTGTTGAATTGTTAAAAACAACAGGATGGGAGCTCACTGACACTGACAGGGGAAAGTGTTGTACCTCAAAGTGATGAGCTTTTCAGCGTCAAGATTCAGAGTTTATTCAGTCAGGTTTGGATAGTTTCTTGAGAGCAAAGGGTGCTATTTTCTAAATCCTTCAAATGACAAAAAGTAAAGTCTAATCACTGAAAAGCAGGTTTAATGGTCCGCAGGTAGAAACAGGTCTGTTCAGCTGTAATGGCACTATATTAAATGAATGAACGGTGTAATAATGTCCAGTTGGATGAATGGATGGTTTAATTCTCCCGAGATGGATAAATTAATTGTGTCATCATGTCGTGTTGTGCAGATGAATGGTGTCCTGACTGGCTCATTACAGGCTGGATACTGATGGAGACGAATCAGCGTTGTCAGAAGAAACCTTTACATGCTTCACACTTCAATGGTTTATGGATGATCGGTTGCAATAAAAACATCATATATTAAAACATAATGCAATAATTAATGTTACTAAGGCTTGTTTTGATTGATTTTTCTCCCAGTCTCACACAGGAACCCACAAACCTACACAGCTGAAGTGCTGGGGAAGTGTTGCTGCAGCTATGTCTTTCATGTGTTAAAACTGCATTACAATAAAAAATCATATAACAGTAAAATACACACAGTAGAAATTAATGTTTGTTTTATGAAATAGTCTGTGGTCTGCGGAGTTTAACTGTATTTCACACAGGAATACACACAGATTTGTGAACATCCGCTCAGCAAATATTCATTGCTTTCCTCTCGAGATCCAAACTGTAAGCTAAAGCCAGACTGGCGCGGCCTCCACCTAAAGCCCCTCAGTTAATGGATGTTGTTCTCCACCTCTGAGACAAGAGCCAATTACTATGATTCACGCTGCAGTCCGATCCTGGCCCACATCTCTGACAACGAGGCTTTGGCTTCGATTACGCTGTCAACATCAGCGTACTTCATCTCAACAACACAAGGTCTTCATCTGCCTCTTTATATCGACCACGGCCTGATGGTTTCACCTTTTGGAGAGGAATATCACTCAATTTTGTAGGGCCACACTTTAACCTACGGTAATTAGACAGATGGCACAACAGCGTCGGATAATCCTTAGTCAACATAAATAGCATGAGATTATAAGTGCAACATGTTTCATTTTAATCTTTACTATGGCTTTTATAGCTGCAATGTGATACGATGGTATAATCATAGAGCTCAAGGAACTGTAAATACAACAACACTGTCCCTGCTAGTGACCAAGGGCCCCGTCTCGGCACATATGTCAGAATACAAATAAATACATTGTAGAGGTCCAACCGGTCTCCAATGTAGTGGTCTCACTGGATAACCTAAATTTCATTTAAGCCTCCCTTAAATGGTGCTAATGACAGAATGAGTTAACACTATCAAATTTAATGTTGAAATATTTGTCTGTACATTAACTATGATCATTATCATGATGATGATAATCCACCCTGCATCTCTGCACCTCTAAAGCTCAGTAATTAGCACGTTGTACCTTGTTTGTTTAATTAGTACACAACCCAGACTGCATTTGAGAAGGAGGTGCATTAGATATTTAGGGGTGGGCACAATAAACTTTGAATTGGGCTATCAAATCCTACTACATATATTGCCTGTAGCCTACATGGATGGAAGGAAAAGCCAAGTACGATTTGTGCAATTTTCAAACTGAGCAGAGTTTTATAACTAGGTTCGGGAACAAAGACCACGCCCTGAACTCACCTCATTTCCGCTCAAAACATATTTAAGCACACCTTATCCGTTCACTCCCTCCTTGACTCATTTTCTACAGCCCTCCCCCCTAACCCTTTATTTCTCTCCCTCTCTTATCCAAATACAGGTACCACTGGGGCTCTTGAAGAGTTAAAGAGACGGCTCCCCCACTCAACGTCTCAGCACCCACTCTGTTCCCTCTGACCATTTCGCCGAACTCCCTCCATCCACCTACCTAACCAGTCTTCCTTCCTTTCTATCAGTCCTCACCCGTCCTTCCCATACCCCTTCATTCCTCATTCCTCAACCCTTACCCCTTCATCCCTTCATCCTCTCATCCCCTCGATCCGTTAACCATTTTTCCTCCCACAGTATTCCGCATTCGTTCATAACGTGTAATAAACTTTTCTTTTTCCATACAGCTGTTGGCGTGGTCTTTGTTAGTGAACGAGTAGTATGCAGCAATTTGGGAATTTAAAGGACCAGTGTGTAGGATTTAGTGGCATCTAGCGGTGTAGTTGCACATTGCAACTCCCTGACTTCACCCTCCCCTTCCAAGCACGAAGAGGAAACTACATGACCGCAAAACACGTGAAAAGTAAGCGGCCCTATCTAGAGCCACTGTTTGGTTTTTTATTAATGAGTTTGTTACAGCAGTTATCACTGAGTATATTGATATACAGCCATATTACACATTAGAGTCAATCTTTAATTTTTCTATTAGTAGTAATAGTGGTTTTGAGCTTCATACATATTTAATTCCACTGATTTAAATGCGGTCTAGCTACTCAACAATCATCAGGAGCCCTCCAGCTCTCTGGTCCCCTGAAGCTCCTCCTGATAGTTGATATCCCCGCAGGCATTGGCCTGACAGACACTTGTTACTGTGGGTGGTGGGGGAGCCCTCAGTGTGAAAAAGCAGGTGAATTACAGTAGTCTGAAGAGGTGAAATGAGAGGGACGGCTCTCCAATACCGAGTGCTGTAATCCCTGAGGAGATAATGTGTGGTGAGAGCACAGCCTCGCTGAGGTAACACTCAACAGACTGAGAGAGAGAAGAGAGAGAGCAGAGGAGTTTAAAAACACCGGGCCAAGTTTTCCTCGGAGCAGCTTTGGCATTTAAGAGTGGACGTTCCTGACAGTGTGACCAGTGGAGCACAAACACAGACAGCTCAAAGGAAAATGGAGCTAAATGTTGAATACCTGCTGGACTCTGCAGCCACTGAACCTCAACACTGACCCCAGCTGTGTAGAACAGAGAGCTTTCCTGAATATTAAACTACTGCACCGTCATCCTCAGCATGAAAACAAACACGCCTTTCTCTTTCTGTCAGCATCTACGTCTTATGGAGGTAAATTTAGAAAAAAGTTTTCCTCTGACATTTATATTTCAGGCATCTTAGTTGACAACAGAATAAACCACAACTGGCAATGCTAGACAATATGTTTTACTTAAACACAAAAACGCTTCCAAGCTAGTGGAGGAGTATTATTTATGAAAAGAACATGTCTTTCAGGGAAGAGATGATTTTTCAATCTATAATATAATATAGGGAGTGATTCTGCTGTCTTATCTCTGCTGAGTTGCAGAATAACAGCATTAACTGATCTAATACTGGCTCACAAAAAAAGAGTTTCTGCCTCAGGTGAAACAATAAAAGAAGGGAAGTCCTACAAAACCCGACCAGCAATGGCAAGAAACCATTATGTCGACATTTGAGTGATGGGAAATATCTTTTCATTTAAATCAAATATCCTCCTGGACACCCATCATTCACCCTCTGGCCAATTCATCCATCCATACATTGTCAAGTTTATCATTTTGCTGAGATGACAAATGGTGAGTTTGACGGCAGTAAAAAACTGTTTCTAAAAAAACATCTCTGGAGGTTTGAGGCCTTCAAACACTGACATGGCAAATTGTTATCATTGATAGACAGAGACCACGACTCATTCGCCTACATTGTCCACTTCTGTACTGTTTTGGTGAATAACAAAGTGCCATGACAGAGCTGGAGACCCTGAATACTGATGAGCTCCATCCATCACCTCAAAACAGCAGTAAACAGAAGGTCCTGCACTTCAGAGCTCTATAAGCCCCGTATACCCAGAGTTCAGTGCTTCTCAGTATGA